CCTGAGCGAGTGTGGGAGATCCTACATTCTGAACGAAGCATGGTGGGGATTTCGCTCCCTCACCTGCCTTCTGAGGAGCAGCTGTTGTGCCAATAGCAACACTAACCGCTTCCACTCAGGTGATTGCCTTCTAACTGTAGCATGTGGTGAGCTATCAGAGGCAGAGTCCAGCAGGACAGGTTTAGCCAGTCGCCATACTTATGCCATACTGGAGGTAAGGCGGAGCTCTTTGTACCTTCAGGATCATCCAGCTGAATAGGTTGGAGAGTTCAAGGGCAAGCGGTTGCTCATGTTGAAGAATCCATGGTCGTCCTTGAGATGGAGGGGGAGATTCTCCCCCGAGGATGAAGTACCTAAGCTGTTAGAAGCATGCAGCCCCAATTGACCTTCCTAGGAATCTTGGTCTGATGAGAGTCTGAGACAAATGCTGCATTACGATCAGCTCACGAGTGTTGACTATGACAGAGGATTGTTTTGGATCGACTTTGAAAGTTTAGTGCGGTAAGTTGCATTAACAGATTTGCTACTCAAGGCCGTCAGAATGGATGTGGAGACTCCTCTACGGGTGATTTCTTGGTTTCGATTTACTAGTATCTGAGTCCCTCTCTGCTGAGACGCTGCCTCTCACTATCTCCACATCGAATAGGCTATGGCATAAACCATATTCCGTTTGGGTGGTTCACCAGTATGTTGTGCGTATACTTATGAAGGCGAGATGCGTCTCTTAGGCTTCATGACGAGAATGGATGGTTTGCGGATGCCGAGGACAAGGTTTGAACCTGGGTTGTCAGGTATTTCGACTCCGTATGTTTGAATTGGAACCCGGCATTGTTCCGACATTCCTATTCTGTGCACGGTGAATGGTTCTACTTGAGGGATGTCAGCAAATGGGTGGAGAACGATAGATTTTTCCTGGGCAACAATCCACAGTAATCGAGAATTGGCCTCAAGCACGCTTATGACCCTGGACGAGTAGGTACTCGATCGATATACCTCGTCCAAGGCGCCCTAGCGATGTAAGTGTCCTCTTTTCCTCCACTGAATGGTCCGTCATTAATAGTGACACATTATGTGCATGTGTGATGAGGATAGGAGTTATTAATCTTCAGGGCTAGAATCTTTTTCACACTACGTTTTGGGAGAGATGCCCGTCTGTGAGTATCTAGCTTGATAGATGCAGTGAAGTTGTTGAGAGTGAGTTGTCGTTTGTACATCTCCTGCTTCATGTGCTTCGAGTATGTGGATCAGTATCAGTCCCCAACAGCTGATCATCGT